ATAGGTTGCACGGCATGGTGGTAATCAGATATAGCCAGTAAAGCTACCTATAATTAACTATCTATTACCTTGCTCTTGCTACTCAGATTGCCACTACTACCAGCTATAGGTAGGTACCGATAATAAATTTAAATGGGTACCTACCGCAATACCATGTATTAAAACAAAATTCAACATTTAAATAGGTACAAATGACACCTAATCAATTAACACAGTGAACAATTACCTGAATATATGATTACTTACAATTTTACCTAAGTAGATTAATTACTAAAATGCACATTATGTATTATAATCAAAGAATATGTAGTATGAATATGGGCACCAGACAGAGTTTGAACGATACGCAACTGTATTTGTAAACGGTTGTAGAAACTATAAGTTAGGATCCTCAATTGATACTTATAAGTTACATACAGTTATATAGGTACTTATTGATTATTACAAATTTAATTCTAATTACTAAGAAAATAAATTCTAAATTTAATCAACCTACCCTAACCTAAACGCAACACAAATATTATCAGACTCATAAATTATTTTCAAGAATAATATAGAATTAAAAGATTCTATTAATTTGTTCTCTATAGAAAAAAGAACAATTTCCTAAAATCCATAAAGATCCAGTAGGAATCCTGGATCCATACTTAAATATTGTTGAATATAAATACAAATAAAATAAGAAAAAATACCAATTGAGTAATCAATTGAGGTATATAGTATATAATAAATAGAGTTAATCAATAGAAATAAAGATTAAGTTGAATTGTATTTTTGGACTATCATTATCAACTGTAAAGGTTAAATTGCTGGTTAAGTATTCATCAATAATTGTAAAATGAAAGTTAAGAATTATTAGAGTTAAACTTTAAGATTAGGTCCTTGTACTGTATAGATAGGTACTTTATATCTGTGTTATCAATATAAATAAATAGGTAATAAACAATTTTACCATCACAGGATGATATGGTTGAGAATTTTACTCAGAATTTTACTAGTAGATAACTATTGCTACTACCTACATGTCTTCTCTATCTTTTTGTATGCTTATAACACAAAGTTTACTAGATAAGTAGGTAAATACAAGTGAAATACTCAGTACAATGTAAATAAAACAGTCTACCCGTTTAATGTACAATTTATTTAACCCCCACAATATTATGTTATAATTACTTAAATAAACCTGCCCAGTGATTTAACCTATCATACATAACCAAGACAACAATAGGCAAGTATGGGTAAGTATTAAAGGTATTATGTGTGTGGGTACCTATAATGTATTCTATTGCATACTACAAAACATATTATGTAGGTATATACTCATTTCAACAGAGACAATCGGTAAGTCATGTACCATCCAGGGTACCCTCTATATTTTAAAATATGCAATACCTTGATTAAATATTTTGACACTTTATTTAGGAATAAATCTGCATTATAGGTATTAAATGAAATATTCGAATATTCAAGGATTCTAGGCACCTATGAATAAGGTAGTATAATAATGTAATCAATTATTGATTAATAATTACTAAAAAAAAACCGTAATCTAGATTAATTGCAGAAGTTTTATGTTTGTAAAACAGATAGATACTATTTTACCTACCTACTACCCAGTATAAAAAAAAAATATGAGAGGTATTATACAGTACCTAAACTTTTCATTTTTTAACTTAGCACAGTTAATTGATAATATCTACTAGATAAGTCGTTTGTTTCCCTTCGGTATAAGTACCGATAACATCGAGTAGATATGGGGATGACCGAATGAGGGTAATTTATTGTTAAAACACAAATCTATTAAATTCATAATAAATAAAAATAATAATATTTTTTTTTTTAATTTTACTAAAATATAAACTCACTTTGAGATGAATTTCTTGATCCGTGCGAAAAAAAAAACGCACACACGGACTCGCGTACACACAATAAAAAAATATGTCGGTGGATAGGTATTAATAAAAAAAAAAAATACGACAAACGCACTTTGTTATGGGGGGATGAATAATAATATTACGAAATGCGTTACCGCAGCCGCCGGTGTGTAATCAACAACATATTTTTTTTTCACATAAATAATCCGACTCCGGAACACGCGCACGGTTAGAAACGGTTCGGACGATCACGGAACGAGACGACTGCGGCCGCTATAACGGATAGGTATTCGATAATATTTCGCTACTCCGAAAAGATCAAAATGCTACCGAGTGGCGACGACGACGACTACCCAGGTACGTTCAATAATGACCGGGCATGGTGTACGGCCGTTATTATTACTACGGTATACGTTCGACTCGAGCGGATACTACGAAAATAAATATATTGCGTAGCTATTTAATGTGAAGAGCGAACGCGGCACGGACAGTCCGTAATCGGCTACACGATTAGGTAAGCGAACTCGAAAGAAAAAAAACCGTCGTCGATTTTCATGCCGAACCGATCCGAAAGACCATAGGGACAACGACAGCGGATGAGAGACAACGAGTCGGCATTGTTCGAGCGCGGTACACGTTCACGCGGAGGTCGTAGTAAACAAACTGGCGAACGGCCGCCGTCGCGAAGGAGGCGCGCGCACGCCGCGGTCGTCGCCGCCGCCGCGCGGTACCGTGGTCGTAGCCGGCACCTGCTTGCGGCGGCGGCCCATGCGTACACACGGCAATGTGTGTCATGGAGGAGAAAAATTATTTCCAACCCTCCTCCTCGTCATCCAGCCGACTCGCGCGCGTGCGACCGACCGTGTCCGCCGACCGCCACAGCGATATCCCGTATTCCCGAATCCCGTTCCGTCGGCCGTGTCACTATTCGCGCTCTCCGCCGCCCCACGACATCGGCATCCGCTCGCCGAGCCCGTCCGTCACCGTCCTTTTCGTCGTCGCGTATAATATTTTTAACCCCCCTCCCCCCATCCCACCGATTGAGAACCCTTTGTGTGCCGCGGTTTTTTTTTTTTTTGTCTTTTTATAATATTTTCTATCTTATTGTCGTCGTCGTGCTGCCGTTATCGTTCTCGTCTTTAGCGAACTCAGTTTCGAAACACGACCAATAACTTTGGTCCCAAGGAAAAAGAACTCTAGTCAATTCTGTATAGTTTGTAATACGAACGAATTAAACTTTTAAAGTGTATAAACTAATATGTTGCATACCTACGCTAATTTTAAAAATGATATACAATTTAGAGCATAAAATAAAGGGGAAAAACATAATTAGACAAAATTATAAAATAAAAAATACCGAAAATTGATTTTAGCCCCTAATCTCTTGAAACAAAATTATTGAAAGTAGGTAATAAGTATAGGTAAACGAAACGAGACATATGCATTGGACTAGCTCACTACAAAGGGGAGAGGGGGGGTGCACCGACAACAATAGTCAAACAAAACTATTCTTGTGTACCTACATTGTAAAATTACTTGTTTTTTTTCGTACGTTAAATTATCTGTTGGACCAGTTAAACAAAGAGACTATCAAATAATTAAAAAATGTATAAAAAAAACTATTCGAAAGCGAGAATCCACAATTAAATAGCATTACGAAACGCAAAAAAAAAGTACAAGGTATAAGAATTTGTAGGATAATTTTGTTTATACGTGCACTCAACGATAAATCATTGCTTACGAAATAAGGTTCTAAACAAATTTCGGTTTTAATATGCCGCAATTTTTACGAATTTCGTCAAGTATTTCTGTTTGGCCAAACAATTGTATAGGTACACAAAAAATTCGGCAAAAACTTAAAAAAAACCCTTGAAAATGGCAAATACCTATAAATACTGGTAGCTTAAAAATTGTCAGAATATTGTGGAAATTGTACCTCGTCTATAAACGGCTTATATAAGACGTATTCTGTAAATATTTCATCTCTATAAAATTATTTCTAACCGAATTACAAAAAAAAAAAAAACCAAAGTCGAAAATAACGACATCGTTAGTGCTGTAAACTATCCTGTTTTTCCTAAAAGTTTTTTCCAATTGTTAAGAAAACAACAAAGAAAATCAAAAATGATGTCTTTAATACCGCAGCCAAATCTAAAATTCTACAAAAAAGTTCTCGTGTCATTTTTTGATTGGAATAATATGTTTGGTAGTAAAATTGGTCTCAAACAGAAAAATAAATCATACACACCATGGTAAAACCAAAACATTCTTCGCTGCGCTCAAAATTTAAAATCTGTAAATCATAAAAAAAATTCAGTACATTGTCAATTATTAATATAGCCACATCTAATACTATTGTATGCCAATAATCAATTTCCAATTATTTATTGTTACCACGACTACGACTTTTCACTCGAAAATAAATGTCATCAAACTTATGTTAGTCCTATGTTTGGTTACCATTTCCTGTCACCGACGAACGAACCTAACGAATGCGTTTATATTATTGATCAATGAACAGGAACGCGTTCATTGTTTTTTAACGAACGTTCCAAACACCGTTAATTTATACCTAACACAACATTTTGTTTTATACCCATAAATATTGTATATATTCCGTAGAAAGCACTTTACTCCCAAATTACAAATCGAAATTGCCCCCACATGAAATGGGTACCTAGATAAATACACAGAAAATCTCCGTCTAACCCACCAAAATACTGTCAAACTCTATATTAGGTATAATATTAACATTTTATTAGGTATCTAAAATTAATCTTTAATAATAATACCTACCTAGTTTGTTATTGTACAAAAATATAAAGCTTTGATCAAAACTTTAATAAACTACTTAGTATAGTATTATAAAGCAGGAAACTTCTCCACGAAATTTGACTGTACTGCAGTATACTTAACTCTTCCATAAACTATATAAACGCCTAAAAATAATAAAGGAAGTATAATATCGATTTAATGTGCGTATGGTAATAACAACTATTAATATATTATTATATTATAGGTAACGTATCGAAATATGTTGAAAAATATGTATTTTATAATTATAAACAGAAGGACCACTTGTCCACTTTAGAAAATTTAATTGTTTAAAAAAAAAAAAAATGTTTTATTAAACTTGTGTATACTTGTGCGTTGTAATTTATTATACTGCACTTGATATAACCAGGTACCTATTCGTTACAATTATTTAAACATTGCAAAAAAAGAAACCTTTTTTAATTATTTTAACATTTCAAATAATAAAACGTTGTCGTCTAACAAATTTTATACTTTATGCGAACACATTTTTTTAACTATAATGTACATTAGAATAACGGTAAATACAACCGATATGGATTCTCAAGAGCAATAAAATATATTACTTATCAATTATTTTTTTCCGAACTCTGATATGTGTATAATTATTGTTGTTTTAGCGTTATTTTTTAAGCGGCTCTCTTTGGATCAAATTCATTATAGGCCAACATACATTAGAATTGTTTTATAGAAAGGGGCATTTTAAAAAATCAAATGAAGCACACATTTAAGATAAACTTATATAATGATGAATCAACTAAAAATATATCGGAGCTAAAGGTATATGTGAACGAACAAAAGGGGCCCCACCAGTGATCGTACCCACCAATGGCGCTTAAGTCCTAAAAATGTAATCAAACGAAATATATATCAAGGTGCCCCTACAATAACTAAACACAACCCATCTTATGTCTAAAAGTATGGTTAGCCTAAATTTATATTTCTTTAATGGCACCCACACACTGGCCTGAAATGAAGCGACCCTATGATTATTTTTTAAAACAATTCTAGGCAAGGCTCCCACCCCCTAAATCCGCTACTGCCCTTGCCGTCTGTTTATATGTTAACATTGATTTCGAGAATTACTTTACTTGTTTTGATGAAATTGTTATTATTCAATATCTTATCGTTATCGGAAGGTAATAGGATACCGTTTTATACCTTATAGATGTAGAGATACTAGACCGTGATATAAAGTAAGGAATGTAGTAACCATCAAAATAATAATTCGAAAACAATGTATTTCAAAAAAAAAACTATAAAAAAAATATAATAAAATGTATGTATACAAATGTAATAAAACTCCAGCAACCGTTTTAAATAAATGAGAAAAAAAAAATGAAATATTATAACGGCAACAAGTCGGCTGGGAAAAAATTCTACTCTAAAAAAATCTGCTACTCACGGGTGTTTTTGTTTTTTACGTATTATCGTTGTACAAAAAAACAAACTTGGACCGAATTATCGTTATCGGATATTGACATAGGAATAATATTATTAGTATGCTGCATAATATTTACCGTGGCATTATAGATTATAAGTATGATTCACATTTTTTTTCATATCCACGTCTCTACGTCTTATTGACTATTAATAACATTATGTCAATGGAAAACAATTCTAAGCCGAGTTTAGTCAAACGGATTTCAATACATTTTAATATCGAAAACTATAATACTATAAATTTGTTGTTTATTGTGTAAAACATTAATTACAATTATTCGTATTTTTAATGAACTTAAACGTAAAACTAACTTAATTTTATACATTTTTTTTTTTTCAAAATTATATTCGGTTAGGTTATAATAAATAACGTATAACATTACACCATTACACTTATAGGTAACTTTTCTTTTCCTTTTTTTGTTTTCTTTTTACCAGTTAGACTTTATAAGCTAACTACGAACCTATGAAAAAGATTGTTTTAAATTTGTTGAGCATTTGTAAATATATACTAGTAATATAGCAGTATTAGCTGGTAATAATAGGTATAGGTACGTAAAATGTTCGTGATTTTTACAAGTTTATCAATATTTATACAATATTTATATATAATGTGTATTAAAAAAAAAAATGTTAGTACCTACCATATTTTGAAAGCAGATTAAATTAGTTAGGTCGTACGATTTCCAAAAAAATGTAAGTATGAGCCTTTGACTACATGTCTTCACTATTAGTAATTACATTTGTAATATAAATATGTTATTATCCATATAAAAAAAAAAATTACTTGGGCTGCTAGATTTAGAATTCTCCATTGGCCGATCTGTCCGACTTATTAATAATAAAAATAATAATTTATTTGTACAATACATTTTTCATTAACTCGGTATAATTGTATATTTAATTCTCTACGGTGAAATGGTAGGGAAGTAAGACTTACAAAAAAAAAAAAAAAAAGAAATGGATTATTCTCCTCTTTATATCCTGTAATGTAGCTGAAGTAAAAATCTGCTCTTTTTTTATTATCTTCAATAAAACATAACTATTATACCTTATAGGTATTTTAATAGTTACAAATGAATAATCTAAATAGTTATTCCATGGAGGTAGACGCGCAACGCATTAAAAATTGCCTGTTTAATATCATAAAATTTAAATTTCTTTTTATTTTCTATATAAAAAAATAGCCGAGTTTTAATCAAATCAACAATATCATCCGTATTCAATGTATACGCTACCACAACAATAAATCTCGAACACGATGTAGTCGGTCGTTTGATGAATAAATTGAATCTCATTTCGATTCCACAATATTTTATAATGATTCGATTTAACCTCGCTTGCACACTCGTTAGTTTTAAATAATATATTATACTATATTATAATATCAAATGTTTCTTAATTAGTTACGTGATCGTGTAATATTGAATTATATTACAAACGTGCGTTAAATTTTCAATTTTTAAAATATATCAGATTTACTAGACAATGATATAAAAATCATAGAATTTCAAATTATGTTTAATCAAAGCTCAAAATCGTATTTTGTTAACAATGATTTATCATCACGCAAAGATATAAATTAAATAACTCTCTGTGCTTTACCTTTTCGACTTACCACCTATTTTAGTGAAATACCCATCAGCAATGTTAATTTTGTTGTTTTTTTTTTTATTGACGTTTTAAGTTCAAGTTTTACGTTGAAATTTGTGAAGACCACGAACATTTATAATTTATTTTGTATAGTAATGAATTAAATTAATTACATTTATCAAAATATATTTTAACCGAACTCTGCTTAGAATCGTTGCATACAGTCCATACAGTGCATATAAATTAATATTTTATAACCTTATCAACTTCTCACCTACAACAGTGACTCACAAATTTTTAATTTATCTAATGATTTACAACGTTTTAATGATAATAATTAATTGTTATTGTTGTTTGGTGTATTGTTCACATTAATCAAAATTTAATACTCTCGGGCAAAGAGTTTTGCATTAAAATACGTTTTTCAACCACCAAAATTCACAACCGAAAAAATATCTCTAAATTTAAAAAAAAAATATGGGTTTTCATTTGAATTTTAAGAAATGATTCTGAAATCCCCACTCCCTTCCCTCAAAAAAAAAAAAAAAAAATTAAGCCCGCCTATAATTTTAAGCTTATGGAAGCAAAACTTTTTTCAAATACATTTTTTTTCTATTTAACATAATATTTGTGTATTGTACGAGGAAATCGCTGTATACCTAACATAAAATTCTGATCACTCTTTATATTATTACACAAAGAAATCCTTAGATGGTTGCGCTATTACACAAAAAAAAAAAAAAAAAAAATCTACTTTTGTTATGAGAAATTTGTGTTTTTGTTTTTTGCCAAGTCTGAAGTCGGCACCGAGTCGGAAAAGAATCGGATCCCGTAATCTCGCCCGCACTTATTCGGTTCACTCGATCGGAACGTCTTGAATAATAATAATAATAATAATAATATGATAAGGCATAGTGTATATATATATATATATATATGTATATATTGTACAGCGCGAGTATATTATATATGTATATATTACGTCGGGTAGCCGAACAATGTCAAGAACTGTGCGTACTCGCATTATATATATTATTACTCCGCTTCCTGCCGAACAATTGCGGTATTCAGTATACGGTTAAAGTGTAAAGACGTCATATTATATACGTTATATACATATATACGCATGTATATATATATATGTATACATGTATATAGATTCTAAATAGGAAACGATATAATATAAGAATATTATATCCCATTATACTGCATTTAAAGAAGGCATAGGTACGGGGCATACCTACGGAGTTGCCCGTTCTCAATTATTTATCCTATGTGCGCGTAATACTTGCACACGGTGAATGCATTATAAGTACGAGCAACTACCAAAGACGCTGTGAACAAAGCCGGGAAAAAATTAGTCAACTCTCAAAACAGAACTACGAGTGAAAAATAAAAATACGTTTTCGTAACTCTAGTTGACGTTTAAAACATTATTGTGAGTACCAAATAGAAACGCATGCAGCTGCGGCGGCATTCTCCTCTCGTAACGGCGACAACGCGTTGTTAAAACGTATCGCATTCGTATAATGCGTGTGCACTGTGTATATATTAGAGTTACGAACGTTTTTCACGATATTATTTTTTGTCACGTATATTATAGTCGATTTTACGGTTAATTTCGCCCACGCGGTTTTCGCATAAAACAAAATAATTTATTACACCGAGACTGTCCCCGTCGACAGGCTACACGGGAGGATTTAAGAAATCAAAAAATTCTGCCGACGTTTTCGACATTACAATTTTACGGTAGTTGGGTGGGTTTTACTCCGGCTTTTCGGTCTGTACAACGTCATGTTCGTGCGTTGAAACGGCCGTATATTTTCCTCTTAAACTGGGCATCAGGAAATAGATTATTGGTAAGGTCCTATCAATTACACGGACATTGGAAAAGGAAAAATTATTTTCAAATTTGTATTCTCTAATAATTATATAAGTGGGTACCTATAAATTTAATAATATACACGTTGACCTATTTTTTATGAAATGTTTATTTTATAAACACACACAAAAAAAAAAAAACGAGTATCGAACTGTATATTATTTTAATAATAGGTATAAGTTCGAAAGTTGTTTACCACGTATATATCGAAAGGACATCCTGATAAAATTTTCAACTGTTTGTACGTAGGTTTTTATACACAATAAACAGTATATTTTAAACGTATATGTGTATAAGTTGTCAAAGTTTTATCCCATCATAGAAAAGCTATTCCCCGACGATCGTAATATATCTAATTTTCAAAAGTTTAGAACATGCGACCCGCAAGAGTCCCTTAAATGGCCGGAGAGCTCTATGCAACACCGAAATTATTTAAATTATGAGTATCCACACAGAACTTTACATAGAAAATATTATATAATACCCATACCTATGTTAATACCCTTTATATTATCTATACTTTCCAATAAGTTTTATAAAGAAATAAAAACACCCGTAAGTGACAGAGCTTCCTAACTAGAGTCGAATTTTCCTTCGTCTAATTTGTACAAGTAATATAAATATTCTTTGAAAGACAATAAACTGCGTACGTTACTAAGCCTTCCCCCTCTCCCCCAATTTGAATTTTGCAATTTTTTTTTGTGCAAATAATTAGTACTCAATTCCTATGAATTCCTAATCATACTCGTATAACCCATTGGAAAAATCGATTTCCGGGAAAACCAGCGGAGCAGGAATTACTACCAATACTACCTGATACCATGCTACAATATTATTATACCAATTCTGAAAAATTGTGAAATTCAATAGTAAAAATAATAGGAGTTGAAAAGTTGAAACCCTCAATAGGCACATCATTGGAAAATCTATAGCCTTGTAGGTGTGTAAACAGTTATACTATTCATCCTCTACCCGCAACTACAGCATGGTTAATTTACTACATTGAAACTCAACCCAAATGTTATTATTCCAATTCGATAAATTTTGCCAAAATTTCATAAATCATATTACGAACGACATAGACGATATTTACTTATTCCGATTTTTGGTATTTTTCTAGATAATTTAAATAAGTTGTTATTCAAAAATCTATTTACGATATTGTCACTTCATTAAAAACACACTCGATATCCCGGTTATTATCATTATTATTATTATTATTATGTATTATAATTCGATAAATTAAATCGTTAGCACGCGCGCCTATAATAAACCGATAAAACGTTATCTGCCGGGTTCGAATGTCAACTCAATGTTGCAATCATCCCGCGACCCCGTGACGTCCGCCTAAACTCCCAAAGTTCGTATCTTGACGTTTTTCGCCGCGCCGACACCTTTTTCCGCGGCGTTGTTTTAATGCAAAATATGCGTGATACGTACAACAAACGGTAGCTTAGTGAAGGGCAATTACCTACTGTGTGTGTGTGTGTGTGTGTGTGTGTGTGTGTATATATGCATACCTACTAACTTCCTTCCTATCCGCAATGCCAATGTTACGGTAAGTAAACACTCATTATGCGGGACGGACCCTTTTACGGAGGACTCTTCTGGCCGCGATACTGATATACATACTATACAAATTCCGACTCCGCGGCCGTATTATATACGGAATAATATAAGCGGGGACCAAAACCCGATAAGTTTTAAAACTTCCGAAATTAAATAACCGCGAATTAGCAGCCGATTATCATACCTCTTTACTGACTGTAATAACAATCATAATAATAACGCAAATATAATGTTGTTGTAAACTCCCGATTAAAATGAATCGATATCAAGCAGGGCGCCACCCGAAACGGGCTTAGTACGCCAAAATTATACAGGTTTAATAATAACACGATTGTTAAGGGCCCGTGCTCGCGATAATTTTTTTTTTTTTTTTTTTTTGTCGTTAACAAATCGCCAACATTTACAATTCACTAGTCGTAACGGTTCTTATCAAACAATTCAATCGGTTTTGATTTGTATACCGTATCTAAATTTTTTTTCTCAAAATATGCATTACGTGAAAGTCTCACGTGCCCCGTAAAGTGAGTTCGATTTAGACCATTACTTACACGGATATATGTTTGAACAATCGAAAAATATAAGATAATTTTACTGTGATGCGAGAAATGTGACTCTGGTTTCCATAAAAACAACAACAAGATAAATAAACATAAAGCATATATATATGATGTTTTGCCGTGTAGCGGAAAAAGCAAAATTAAATTGTTTTAAATTTTTGAAATATTAAAAATTGGTTATTATTCGATCTCTAAATAATAACGTTTTAAAGTATAGTTCTCGAATTCCTATGTGTTCTATAAGAAATCTTATTAGTCTGCGATCAAAAAATAAAAAAAAAACGGACATACATCGCACAATATATGGACCATTGTTGTTGGTGAGAAGTTGGGAAGGTAAAGGGGAAATTTAATGTATATCTGAACGCAACGGTTAATCAATATTCGATATAATATTTGAAATATATTAATACCGCCGTGACGAAGTAACTAAATGGTAGTGCGTTCAAGAAAATAAGACGTTGGAAAAAGTTTACTCGAATCTATTTCGCGGGATGAATGTATTGATCAATTCGCTAAACGGAAATCAAGAAAAGCATTTTTATAAAAATATTATAAATAACAAAAATAAAATAATTTACTTAACATAATAAATCCCAGTGTTTTATATAATCATTTTAATTAATTAATTCAGTTTTAATTTGAATCATGTTTACGAAATTGTTATTTTAACAAATGTAATTACATTTTTGTTGAAACATTTATATTGTTTATTCGTTTATACGGTAATATTAAAAAGATTGTTAACATATTATTTCATTATATTTCTTATATCTTTTAATAAAATGCGTGGTAATAAAATACTAATTAAATGAGGTATGGATGAGCATAGGTTGAACAATTTTTAGGGGGAAGGGGACTCTATACTAATCCTCTGACCTGCTGTAAGTTAATAAAATTAATAAATACCATATTATAGTAAAACAATTTTATGAAATAAAAAAATTTATTTTTCATTGAAAAAAAATTTCTAATTTTAGGTAGGTTTGCCCCGGGGCGCAAAATTTCTTAATCCGGCCCTGTATATGTAACATATAATGCATTATACATAATTGATATTTACACAAATCTTACCTGCTGGAAATGATTAAATAGTGGTTCTTAAAATGAACATTATAAACATTTTTTTTTTTTTTTTGGAATTTATTATATCAAAATCTATACACTTTTATTGAGCGATTAAATTTTTTTTTGTTGTTCACTAAAGAAACTCTATTTTTACAATACCATATTATTAGTGTACAATAAGGTGAGCATTAATGGGGGAGGGTTGCATTGGTTCCGGGAGCCACACTTCAATAGGGCTTTATAATCTTTAAATGCGTGATAAAAAATTAATTTTTTTTTTTAATATCGACCATATCCTGCTGGTAACATTCGCTCGGCAGAACCTAAAATAATGGCGTTTTACCGCATAATAAAATGTGCAATAACTACGAAATGCTAATTGTAAACGCTCTCGAAATTCTAATGTGTTTTAATAAAAAGGCGCTAAAGGAACGGTGCTTCTAGACGCCGAAACTGTAAATACGTCCCTGATTGGTACAATATGTATGTATAGAATTTAAATAATATAAAAATTAATTTAAAAAAGATTATTATTGTGACGCATAAAATAATATGCCCTCCTAATGTTGATCAGTTCGATAATTTTCAATAAAAATTGTAATATTCAACAAAAATAATAATAAACATTTTCTAAAACAAAATAACATAATCGTATAATGTATAAAAAGCCACGTCCGTCAATTTTTATAATCAGAACGTAAATTGTATCGTTTAGGTTGAAAATAGAGTTTAAACGCAAATACCAGAATTATTGCCGAAAAATGATTGACCCTGTTTCCTCAATTGTAAATGCACGTCAAGTGCATATCGGTCGTTACAGTCAACTTTTAACATGTAAATGAGATTGACGTACAGTACGATATATTACTACTAGATAATCTTAAATAATTTAATATCGTTAACGTTTCGATCTGTCTATGTTATAAGTTGTTGCGTGTAATAATGATTGTTTCAATGTTAACAACGGAATAAAACTTTGGTGAAAACGTTTGATATTTCGTTTAAATTCGTACGGTTATCAAGTTTTCCCAACAAAGATTTGCAGCATTCGGATTTACCATTACCGTTTTAAACATTTCATTGAACGTCATGGCCAACTATGTATATGTCATTATGGCAATTTAATAATTCGTTATTCATTTAGATTTTTCAAACACTTATTTTCGTTATAATTCTAATAAATTGTCCAACAAGTAACGATTACTTGAACATCGACAGTCCAAATTATAGATTATTCTATTAAATTTTTTTTTTTTTTATGAAATTTTGAGAACCACTTAACCACTTGTGAAATGTACTACCATCCGACTATTGATGAACGCTCGATTATGAAAAATCTTAAAAATATAATATAATGCCTATAGTATTATACTCAGAACAATCGTACGAAATATATAAAAAATTGTGCTTACATTATAGTTGCATGTACGAGGTAATATTATTAATGTAAAACGTTTAACAAATATTCAACACACGCGTCATCATCACGTTGTGTTAACTATTATTCAACGCGACGTATAATAACGAAACCCTCGATGCGCATTTCACGATACGCTACACAATTATCACCTCAGCTGTAGGTTTGTAGACTCGCTCCCTTCGAGTTTGTCTGACAGTTCGTAATAGTGTAAAATATAGAGTGAAAAAAAATGGGTGTCAATCGAATTCAATGTCGGAAATGGACATTTTTGCGGGTCCTTCAAAAGAATCATTTCGATTCGCTCGGACAAAGCTATTGGGAAACCTAAAAGCCATACGTTTTAAACATTTTCAAAGAACCCCGCAGTCTTGTATTATTTTCTGGTTTTTTTTTTTCATTTCTCGAAGAACGTATATAAAGGTTTTGTCACTTCTTTTTACGCGTGTATACATGCAAGCATACATTATTATGTTATCGGAGTAAAGTAACAAATGGCTTTTTTTATTATTTGCGTAGAGTTATTTGCAGTGTTATTATTATGGCCGACAAAGAGAAGCACTAACATCAAAGTGAATGCAATAAATGTACAATTATTATATCAATTACTACGATAAACCAGTTATTTCGGTTTTTATATTAATATTATAACATAATAACTGATTTTTAAATTAACATAATATTTTTTATTTACTGTTATAATTGAATACGTCATATATATAAATTATATAATATGGTTCGCGACTGTAACATCCGGAATGTCCAAGAGAAATAAACAAAAAATTGTTTTTTTTTGGTATTATATTAAAGTGTATTTGTATATTTTATCGGTTCTTCTGATTGTCGTACCAAAACTATAAAACACTTAAACTCCAAAATTAACTTGATGGTTGGGAATAAATTGGGAATTTTTCTTTAAATCATACAAGTATAAACAAGTTGATATATATCTTCTGTTATTCGTTTTAAATAGATTACAATACATTTTAAACTCGATTTTATATTTTTTAATTTGTTTACAGGTTTCGATAATCAAAAAAATGAACAATTTTTTCTTCTTATAGTATAGTTGATTTGAACTTTTAATTTGGTAAGTAATACAAAGTTGTTATAAAAAAAAAAAAAAAAAAAAAATACAATTTT